GTGAGGAGGAGGAGGCTGAGGGGAGCCCTCATCCCTCTCTGCAGCTCCTGACAGGACATTGCAGAGAGGCTGGGGCTGGGCTCTGCTCCCAGGGGATCAGGGACAGGACAAGAGGGAACGGCTGGAAACTGCCCCAGGGGAGGGTCAGGCTGGGCAGGAGGAGAAAATGTTTCCCAGCGAGAGTGGTCCGAGAGTGGAACAGGCTGCCCGGGGAGGGGGGAGTCCCCATCCTGGGGGGGTTTCAGGGCCGTTGGGATGAGCTGTGGGGGATGTGGGGTAGGGGAGAGCTTTGTGGAGTCGGGCTGAGGGTTGGACTCGGTGATCCCGAGGGGCTTTTCCAACCTGGACGATTCAGGGATTCTTGGCACGTAAAGCAAAGAGGCGGGGGCTGACAGCTCGCGTGCTCGGTGCCACCCTCGGGGAAGACACGCTGCTTTTTGCAGCATCCCAGCAGTCGTGTCTTGTGCCAGGAGCCCCAGCCCAGCTCAGGACACACCGGCCACACAAAACGGCAACTGGGAACCCCCAAAGTCTCACTGGCATCCAACGCTTGTGTCTGTCTCCACTGCTCAGCCAGTCATCTCTTGGCAAAACTGAGGCGAGCTGCCAGGAAGACGTGTCCAACAACGGCTTAACACCTCTGAACAGGAGACGCCAAATGTCAAGTTGAAACCCAGGTGGGCCTTAAGTCCATCTAAGAATTCCCCTGAAGCTCCTAATTTCGACAAAGCTAAGAAAAGGCAGAAAACCCAAGCTGCTACTTATTTTCTCTCCAACAAAACCCGAGCACCAAGGCTGAGGCTTAGAGAAGAGCCACTTCCCTGCCCGCTCTCCTTAAAATCTCAAGAGGCCACCTACTCTAATTTAGGAAAAACATTGTCACGCGCCTGAAAACTTCAAAGATGTGGAAAACCCACCGGCTGCTCAGATAAGGATGCCTACCTGGGAGCCCTCATCGGCTCTGGGAGTGTTGGCTTCCCCCAGGCCCTCGATGCTGAAAGGACAACAAGGGATGCCACAGACACACCAGTAGAAGATGCTGACAGGGATCATCTTTGCTTTGCCAGCAGCATTTCATGATGGATCACCACAGCTTGGGATGCCACTGCAGCCCTCCCTTCTCTCTAAAGATTCATCTTAGCTCTGCTCCTTTTTACTTTGCTTTCCAGCAGTGCTGCTTGATACTACCTGCTTCCAAAGGCCAGCGTCCTGCTTGCAGGCAATCACAGAGGGCCCAAAAATTATTTTAGTGGAGATGTTTCTCACTTAAACGGACAGGCATCACCCTGACACGCAGGGGAACATCAAGTTCTCCTCAGCAGAGCGTCTGCACACGGCCAGGAAGGACTCAGGTCTTTGACTCCTGCGGGATCTCTCCATTAAACTTTTTTCTGGATAAAAGTCCTGTGTTTTACACCAACCCCCACGCCACAGCACTTGCAAACCTCATGCAAGGCGGCAGAATGCAGCGAGCCGGAGCTCTTCCCTTGGTCATAAATAAGCCAAATGCTTTTTGAGCACCGGTACTGACAGAGACCACTACGCTTGTATTCGTAACAAATTCACACCCTCTTCTGCGCCTTTGTTTCAGATTCCTTCTTCGCCTGGGCTTTCTTTTGTTTGTATCCACAACTGATAATATTTTAAAATAGGTTTCTTAGATGACAGATTTTAATTTTGCATAAAATAAAAGGGGAGCAGGGACCAGAGGAGCGGCAGCTCCCCCCGGGGCTGCAGACCGCCTTGCCGTGTGCCCCCAGACCCCTTTCCAAGCACCACCACGCCCAGAGAGTCACCGATCGCACCTTCTGCTAACCAAAACCTCACCCATCAGCCCCAAACCACCAGCACTGCCTCCAAAACCTGGTCTTCTCTCCTGCAGACCATAACAAAAAAGGTAACGGCAGGCGCTGCAGCTACCTCTTCTCTCTTTAATACAACACAGACCTTGGTCCTGCTGTTGTGATTCGCCTGGAGCGAAGAGCAAGCTCCAAATCTCCCAAAAAGGAAATTCAGCGTGTGTGCAGGAGTGACAATCATGCAGGAATTCACTCAGAACCTGCCGGAGACAAGACCAAGACCTCACCTGCCTTCTGCTGCCGTAACAGGAGTCCGACAGCCCCGAAAGCCCTGCGTGGGAGGGAGGCAGAAACGCCCCAGCTCGGGGAGACACCAGGATTCAGGGTACAACCAACACACGTGGGGCATTCCAGGCAGTGTTTGTGGTTACGCAGCTATCAAAGGTCAGCTGTCACTGCGTCACACGGATGAGTTTGCTCCCAACCAGGAAAATGTGACATATCTGGTGACATCGCCGCCTCGCTCCTCCCTGGGCAAACAGCCTAAAATAGGGCAGCGAGAAAGGAAGCGACTGGCCGCGGGTGACGCGTCGGGATGAACCTGCTCAGGGTTCGCTCTGCCTGACAAAGTTTCCCTCGCAGGCGTTTACAGGGGCTGGACGTGTGTGTCCTGGCACAGCAGGAGCGCTCCGGAGCCAGCCCTCCCAAAAGTCAGCTGATAATTTCACCTCGACAGTGCCCCAAGTGATTTTAACATTATTAAAGCGACCAAATAAACCACGACAAGGTGTTGGAAAGAAAGAATTCAGCACAGCAACTCCAGCTTGTACCATGACACAAGCGCCGGCTCCGAGGTGGCAGTTTCTGTTGTACAAAAACAGAAGAGTGAGCAAATAAAACGAGACTCGGGAGTGTTAAGTGATTAATCCACGGGCCTGGGAGGCATCATTAAATACTCCCTGAAAAAAAAAAACAAAACTAAACCCCAGGCTGGTGGGACTTGCTCCTGCAAAACAATGCAGCTGCTTGGAGCCGGCTTCAACTTGGAAAAAAAGGTGTTTTGGCATTCCTGAGAACGGGCTGTGCGTTTTACATCAGAGAGGAATAACCTGCGTCGAGGCTCTGGATGGATTTTGGGGAAATAATTAAGGAATACCCTTTTTTCAAAGGAAAGCAGCACTAGGTTATTTAACTGAAGCGTTGAACAAAACCCTGTGCTCAGCCAAAAGCGCATTAGAAAAATCTTGTTTTCTTTCGGGAGAATCCTCACGGACTGACAGTGGTTTCACTTCTCGAGCTTTGGGCGGCGGACGCCTGAAATCAAAAGCTCAACTTCCACATTCCCTTCAGCAAACCCATCCGCCACGTCAGAGGATTGCACGTTTCGTACCCAAGTTTGCCCAAGATGGGAGGTTTCTCCTCACGTCTTGCCAGCACGTTCCGGACAGGCACTGGCCCAGCACCAGGGCTGAGTCGATGCTGATAAGAATCTCGGGATGGAGGCGTGAAGGGGAAGGGGGTGTGGGGCGTGGAGGACCCCGGGGCTGGCGGGGGGCTGTGACGGCAGGATTGTGTCACAGCCCCGGCACCCGGCGGGTGACGGGAGGGTCCCCCTCAGCCCCTGCCAGGCACCCTGC